AGGAGGGTCATTGATAAATTGGATTTGTCATATATGGTTTATGTTTGGTATTGCATTTTTATGTGTGAACCTTAGATTGTATTTTTGCAGATCATTAGAAAATGATTTGTTAGGGATTTTTAGAAAGGTATTTTCATATTAAGTTGTCTTACTGTTGCTTATCCATAGTTATTTGGAATCATCACTTATATTGCTGCAAGGATAATTATCTATACATGTGGAGGAAAAGCTTCAACAACAATTTATTTAACCATGTTTGAAGATTTATGAACTATTCGTGAAGAACACAACATATATTTACTCCACATATATTTCAACAATCTACATTTGCTCAAAACATATATTAACTCAAAATATGGTTCAACAATCTACATTTGCTTAAAAGAAAAACCAAAGTTTCTTTCTGATGCCAATACCGGATTAACTCAATTAACTACATCAGGGCATCACTACTACCTCCCACTCAAGACTTCAACACCATGGATAGCTTTTTCAGGAAAGGGTTGAATGTCGTAGCCAGATAAACATTCCAGTTCAATGCACTGTATCTTGTCGACGCTACAAGTTTTAACGGCCATAGTGAAGAAAAGGATGTCTACACATAATCAGGAAGTTTTAATAAATAATGGTCAAGTTTTATTGCAGTAGTGCTAAATTCATGAGACTCTTTGTTTAAGGCCTCAATCCTTTATATTGTTTCATTAGATGCATGCATGCATCTGATTTTGCCAGGAACTGATTGATAGTCAGGAAAATACTGAAAGAAGTTGGATTGAGTTATTGACTTGTAATACTAAGTTGTATGATAGTTCAAGGCATAGATGTTTGACTGATTCTATAAATATTATTATTATTGTGGTTATTCATTTGCTATTAGGAGGGTCAATGATAAATTGGATTTGTCATATATGGTTTATGATTGGTATTGCATTTTTATATGGGAACTTTAGATTGTATTTTTGCAGGTCATTAGAAAATGATTTGTAAGGGATTTGTGAAGTATTTATCGTATGGTTTATGATTGGCATTGCATTTTGATGTGTGAACTTTAGATTGTATTTTTGCAGGTCATTAGAAAATGATTTGTTAGGGATTTTTAGAAAGGTATTTTCATATTAAGTTGTCTTACTGTTGCTTATCCATAGTTATTTGGAATCATCACTTATATTGCTGCAAGGATAATTATCTATACATGTGGAGGAAAAGCTTCAACAACAATTTATTTAACCATGTTTGAAGATTTATGAGTTATTCGTGAAGAACGCAACATATATTTACTCCAAATATATTTCAACAATCTACATTTGCTCAAAACCTATATTAACTCAAAATATAGTTTAACAATCTACATTTGCTTAAAAGAAAAACCACTGTTTATTTCTGATGCCAATTCAGGATTAACTCAATTAACTACATCAGGGCACCCCTTCTACCTCCCACTCAAGACTTCAACACCATGGATAGCTTTTTCAGGAAAGGGTTGAATGTCGTAGCCAGATAAACATTCCAGTTCCTTCTCCCCTTCACTGTACCTCATATATATACTACGGAAACAGCCGATAGTATTCCGGAATGAGTTCGGGACCCCCAGCAAAGCAGCTCAGGTGAAGAAGAGCATTATTATCTACACTCTTGACTGAACAACACGTACATTGATATCCTACCAGAACTTGGTTCCTGTGGGCAGCTTGGCTCCACGGTATCATATTTATGTAAGCTAAATGCATACATGTTGAGTCTTACCTTCGCTACCACAATACTATAAACGACAAATTTATTTTCCATTACCTATGGAAAGCCACAGTGAACCCCCCGATTATTATTATTTTTCTTTTAAAAAAACATGGATACAAATAAATCTTCGGCTTTTAAAATCCCGCCGATTATTATCAATTCTAAAATCTTCGGCTTTTCAAAATCTTCGGCTTTTCAAAATCTTCGGCTTTCCAAAATCTTCGGCTTTTCAAAATCTACGGCTTTCAAAATCTTCGGCTTTTCAAAATCTTCGGCTTTTCAAAATTCACCGCCGATTATTATATTATAAAATCTTCGGCTTTTAAAAGTCTGAAAATCTTCGGCTTTTCAAAATCTTCGGCTTTCAAAATCTTCGGCTTTTCAAAATCTTCGGCTTTCCAAAATCTTCGGCTTTCCAAAATCTTCGGCTTTTCATAATCTTCGGCTTTTCAAAATCTTCGGCTTTCAAAATCTTCGGCTTTTCAAAATCTTCGGCTTTCCAAAATCTTCGGCTTTCCAAAATCTTCGGCTTTTCATAATCTTCGGCTTTTCAAAATCTTCGGCTTTTTAAAATACACCGCCGATCATTATATTATAAAATCTTCGGCTTTTAAAAGTCTGACCCCCGCCGATTATTATCAATTGTAAAATCTTCGGCTTTTAATCAAGAGCCCGCAGATTATTTTCAATAATAAAATCTTCGGCTTTATAAACCAAACCAAAAATAATCTCCGGGACCCGAATATTATGATTGTAAAATCTGCGGGGAAATATAAAAATGCAAAGACTTACATCAAATGCAGACGCGGAACCGAGAAATACATTCGAAACTCTCTAGATTTGCATATTCTGGTTCATTACACCAAGAAACAAATCCCAAGAAAGGTTGAGATAGATAGATAGGTGTTATTGTTGAAAAGACAACTGAAAACCTCAAACACGCAAGCACATGCAGACTATATAGTATGTATGTATATATTTAAGTGTGTGCGTAAGCGTCTGTATGATTTTTAAGCCCCCGTGACAAAATAGGGGTGGGGGTATAAATTTACCCCTGTCCGTCCGTCTGTTCGTCCGTAAGATGCATTGTTTGTCCGGCTATCTCCTACAGTTTTGGAGGTACAACTTTAATATTTCGTAGGATGTTCATACACATAAAAAAGGCGTTCATGGCCAAAGGATTTTGATTTCTTCCAAATGTTGTGACAATTATAGCTGATCACAGGAATCCATGACAATTCGCCCTACTGGCAAATCACCCAACACCTAATCGCCCCACTTTTTCACCAACTCGCCCCACTTCCTAAAAAATCGCCCCACACTTGTTTACCAACTCGCACCACTTATGAAAAGGGTAAAATCCCATTGAAAATAGGTTGGATAACTTGCCCCACTTATGAAAAGGGTTAAAATCCCACTGAAACAAGGTCTGCCAACTCGCCCCACTCATGACAAATAGATAAACCACGATGAATTTAGTAATGCCAATTAACTCGCCCCACTTATGGAAAAATCGCCCCACTCTTGTTTACCAACTCGCCCCACTTATGAAAAGGGTAAAATCCCATTGAAAATAGGTTGGATAACTTGCCCCACTTATGAAAAGGGTTAAAATCCCGCTGGAATAAGGTCTGCCAACTCGCCCCACTCATGACAAATAGATAAACCACGATGAATTTAGTAATGCCAACTCGCCCCACTTATGGAAAAAGATGCTATCCCTTTGTATATGTTCCTGACACTTATAAATAAAATCAATACCTATGAAAACCTTAGATAAACATCTTTTGTAATTCTTTTCTTTTTGTTTTTCCTTTCTTTTTGTTTAAATAAAGCAGTAAGAAGTGAGTATCAGTATTTCGGTGACGTGAATGTCAACTTGCCCCACTTGTGAAAAATAGAAAAATCCTGATGAATTGAGTTATGCCAACTCGCCCCACTTATGAAAAATAGGAAAATCCTAATATTGATTGAGTCATGCCAACAAACGAGTGTAGGCCTTCCAATTCGCCCCCCTTATTAAAACGTTAGAAATGCATCTGTTTTTGTTCTTTCCTTTGGTTGAAATAAAACAGAAAGAAGGTAGCATCAGCATTTATGTGACGTTTTTTTCCTGGTAAATATATTCAATGTTTTATAAGATAAGTCAAGAATCATGTGTGTTTACATAATTTTATTCTCAGATGATAGGTTTGCACATCTACATAAGTATGCATAACAATAACATTTAAAACAAACATACATTAAATCAATTATGACAAGCACTGGCATGATAACATAAAAAGAAGTACTAGATGAAATGTCAGCACTAGAAACAAGAACATGAATACATAGATTAGTTTTCATTAAGCATGTTAAGTGGGGCGAGTTGGCAGACATGAAAATTATATATTCATCTAAATATTACCGTTTTTCATTAAGTGGGGCGAGTTGGCAGGCATGAAAATTATATATTCATCTAGATACATGTTACCGTTTTTCATTAAGTGGGGCGAGTTGGCAGGAGTAATATTAACGAGATTTAACCCTTTTCACAAGTGGGGCGATTTTTTAAAAAGTGGGGCGAGTTGGTAAACCAGTTTGGGGCGATACAAATTGTTTCGTCTCTAAGAAAAAAGTTAGATTTCCACTACTACTTTTACTAAATAGGCACAATTTGTGGACACTCGGTGCAATTTGGGTACTGTGACTTTATATATATATATATATATATATGAGTGTGTGTGCAATAGATTGGGCGTCTGTATCGACAAAATAGGCTGGGGATATTTATTTACCCCAGTCCGTCTGTAAGATACATACTCAATCGTAAAGTTCATCTGCCTATCTCTTACAGTTTGGGAGGTATAACTTTATCATTTTGTTGGATGCTCATACACATAATGCAGGTGGGCATGGCCACAGGATTTTTTACCTACCTTGCATTAGATGTCCTTTTTCAGCTTGGTAATACTATGTTAACACTAAGAGTTATAGTTCAATTGATGATCAGCTTCATAAACATCTACAAAAACATGCAAATAAAACATTTTAATCACCAATTGATATCTTATGGCATGTATGGCAAAGAAACATTGTCCTTACATCACTTTTTCTGTGTCATGTACCATGCAGGATTATGAAAAAGGATTTTTGAAGGAAAGTGCCAGTGGTACTCATAAATTTTTGCCATCAAAAGTCCAACAGTCATGACAGTGAGAAGGAGAAATTTTTTCAATTTTGAATTCTTAATTAGGTTTTCATGACAAAGGAGGGATAGAAAAGAACATCACATCAAAAGTAATTTAATTTTTTTGTCATAAAATGATGATTTGTTAATTTTGATCTTTTGTTGTAATGTAATACACATAGCATTTTCATGCTGAAATTAGCAATTTTTCCAACTTCAAAAATTTAATTTAACCATAACATTGCCATACAAATGTATATATTTCATTTATGTTTCAGTTGCAATGTACTGCCAACACTGTGGGGAAAATCTTCCCAATACTGCACACTTTTGCACAGAATGTGGCAAGTCAGTCACATCATCATCAGGTAAGAGATATTTACACATGTGTTTAATTAGTGCATGTGCACTTCACAAAGTGATAATTTAACATTTATAATTCCCTTAAAATCACATTATGAAATTGTTTTTTTAATTGGAACAGACAGAATATATACATGAATAAAACATTTAGGGTTTCTTAAATCTTTCATTACACGACAAAACTAGATGTTCTTAAGAGCCTGAATTGCTCACCTGGCTTTAATTGGTTTATTTGAACATATAAAAAGACATTTGTATGTATTTTCCATGAATGGAAATGTGGAATGTGTCAAAGAGACAACAACCCGACCATAAAGCAGACAACAGCCGAAGGCCACCAATGGGTCTATTATCTTATGTTTAAAAAAAAAAATTATAATCGCTCGCCTTTACTTTTCAAGCTTCGCCTCAAAAATTTGCAAATTAAATATTTTTTTATAAAAATTTTCAAATTGCTCACTCGCCCCAATTTTTGGAGTCCAAAAATCCGTAGAACAAGAAATTAAATTGGTGTGGCCTAACTGTATTGTTTGGTATTATTCAACCTGTTATTGTATAAATAAATTTGTATTATTTAGATGTTATTTATAAGTTAACTAAATATTTATTCAAATGTATTTCTTGCAGAATCTGAAAGCTTAAAAATGTCAACAGAATTATCCTCAGGTTTGTAGACTTATGATGAAGTGTGCTAGAATTTCTTATTAAGCATGTGCAAAATGTGAAATGAATTATCTTTGAAATAATATAGGCATATACAGACATTTTGTTCAAGTCTTCCAAAAATGAGTATATTTCATACATGTTTGTAAGTTTGTTATAGACTTTCGAAAGGAACTGATTGAACTTAAAAAAATAAACAAACTCTGGGCGAAAAAAAAAATGCTGGATGAGCCTTGCAAAGAAATAATAGGCAAGATTGAATTGATATTCCCAACAGACTTTTTCTATGTGACATTTAATCTGAATTGATGAAAGTTACAGACACTTGTTTAAATATTAAGGAGGTTTGCTGCTATAAAATTCTTAAAATAACTTATATCAGTTTTGTTTTCAAAATTTATTATTTTACAAAGATATAAAAAGATGTGGTATGAGTGCCAATGAGACAACTCTCCATCCAAGTCATGATTTGTAAAAGACAACAATTTCAGGTCAAAGTAGGGTACATGTACACATATTTTGTACCTAAATGTAAGTATGATTTGTAATGATTTATTACAAATCACTCAGACACACATATAAATGTGTAACATGAGGTCAAAAATATAATACAATATATGCAAATAACATGACAGAAGAATATTTAAACATATTAAAGTCAATACATAGCTCTTAAGAATCCAACAGTGTGAATGATTATGAAAAAAGATATACAACATATATATATATATAGATGGATATGACATAAATCAAAGATATATATTAACTTTTCTGATGAACAAGGGTAGCTTTTTATATAGTTCAGTATTACAATAAGACAGTAAACCTTCAAACTTGATGATGCTTGGATGAGCTGTGTAGCACATAGGTATGTACTTGTTTCTTAATGACACAATATTTTCATTTTTACATATCAGCAAAATATGGAATTCATCTTCATTACCATTTTGATAGGAGGCATTTGTATAGCAGCTCTTTATTTATCATTTGTACACAAGTTACATTTTCTTTCCTCCCTTGGGATATTGTACTTGTAGATTCATAATATGACATAAAATTAGGGGTCATTCATTTAATTGCATGAAAAGCAATCATGAATAGTGATTTTAACTGCTTTTCTGTGGTAATTCAAGGCAAATTTGGTTTTTAGATCTTTGTTTTTGAACTTAGATTTGTCAAATTACATTAAGTTTCGATCTACTGTATACGAACAGATTAGAAATATTATAAATCATAAATGATTTTGAAAATTTAACCCAGCGAAACTACTTCAGAGGGAACTTTTTGGTCTTTCTTTATAAACCAAACAAAAAATCAGAAATCATTTGGACAGGATATAGATTTATTTTCTTTTTGTAGATGGTAGAAGAAGTCTTGACGCTTTAAGGAAAAGATTTCTCAATAGCAAGTCTGAAGCTTCTCCACCCAAAAAAAGCTGTGTGAAGCCAGCTTTAAAAAAGAAAGAGACAACAGAGGTAAAATATTTTTGTGGTTTAGTATTTGATCACTTATTATGCATCACCTATGACAGTAGAGGTGCATTATGTTTTCTGGTCTGTGTGTCCCTCTTTGTATCCTTTTGTCAGTTTTTTCTGTCTGGTATCAGGTTAAAGTCCTTTTTTATGAAGTTCTAGTAACAGCTTCTTGAAACTTAGTATACCAGCTCTATAATTAGTCAAACCACAAGATCTGATCATATTCACCTAGCCTGTTTCAACCTATTCAATTATTATAAAATGTCTAATAGCAATATATCAAACATCTCCTTAATAACTTCATAACAGGAAATGCCAGTTTGGCTTAAGATCAATTGAAGGTTTCTGCATGCCTGATATAATTTAGAAAAATAAACTTTTTCCAATAAGCTCAGCAACACATTTTTCTGACAAGTTGAACAACACAATCACAAAAACAAATATACTTAGATAAATTCATAATCCACTTCAGTATCTTTCAAACCTGGGCCAGCACCTTTTTATCTTATTTTTTTATTATAATTAGTATTTTTCTACTGGATTTTGACAATGATATCAATAATACCTAATGCAAATCTATTTTTATACGACCGCAAAATTTTCGGTCGTATATTGGTATGATGTTTCGTCGTCATCATCGTCCTAAGACACATTGGTTTTTTACACAATATCTTTAGTTTAAGTGAATGAATCTTTATGAAATTTTACCATAAGGTTCAATACAACAAAAGGAAGGTTGGGATTGATTTTGGGGGTTATGGTACCAACAGTTAAGGAATTAGGGGCCAAAAAAAAGCATTTTTGTAACTTCCAGACAATAACTAGTGTGTTAGTGTATGGATCTCTCTGATATTGTACCACCAGATTCCATATCACAAAAGGAATGTTGGGATTGATTTTGGGGGTAATTGCCTCAAAATTTTAGGAAATGGGGGACAAAAAAAGGGACAAAAAACAAGCATTTTTCTAGTTTCTTGACAATAACTTGCGTGTAAGTGTATGGATCTTTATGAAATTGTACTACAAGGTTCCATATCACAAAGGGAAAGCTGGAATTGAGTTTGGGGGTAATTGCCCAAAACGTTTAGGAAAAAGGGGCCAAAAATAAGCATTTTTCTAGTTTCCAGACAATAACTTGTGGTCAAGTGTATGGATCTCTCTGAAATTGTATTGCAAGGTACCATAACACAAAGGGAAGGCTGGGATTGAGTTTGGGGGTGCTGAATCATAAGGGGGTTCAAAAAATTTTGGGGTGGGGGATGGATTTTTTTTGGTCCAAAATTAAACTTAGTTTGATTTTAACAAAAATTGAATTCTTGGGGTTCTTTGATATGCCAAATCTAACTGTGTATTTATATTTTTAATATTGGGTCCTGTTTTTTAAATTGGTCTACATTAAGGTCCAAAGGGTCCAAAATTTAACTTAGTTTGATTTTAACAAAAATTGAATTCATGGGGTTCTTTGATATGCTGTGCTGAATCTAAACATGTGTTTAGATTTTAGATTATGGGCCCAGTTTTCAAGTGTGTCCAAATTGGGGTCAAAAATTAAACTTTGTTTGATTTAAAAAAAAAATAAATATATGGGGTCCTTTGATATGCTGAATCTAACCATGTATTTAGATTTTTGATTTTTGGGCCCCGTTATTAAATTGGTACACATTGAGAACAAAAGGGTCCAAAATTAAAGTTTGTTTGATTTTATCAAAAATTGAATTCTTTGGATTCTTTGATATGCTGAATCTAACCATGTATTTAGATTTTGGATATTGGTCCATAATCGGTAAATTAAATTTTTTTAAGTTCTTAGACCACATTCATTCTGTGTCAGAAACCTATGCTGTGTCAAATATTTAATCACAATCCAAATTCAGAGCTGTATCAAGCTTGAATGTTGTGTCCATACTTGCCCCAACTGTTCAGGGTTCAACCTCTGCTGTCATATCAAGCTGCGCCCAGCGGAGCATTTTATTCATTATTAGATATATATCAGCAGGGTCATTTTTATACAGTCATCTATTATGTTATGAAGTAAAGTCCTAAACATTATCGTAATTTAACATAAATGAAATGATTTGTATCTGATATAAAATCCTTATTGCATTTCCAAATCTTACAAATGTTCTCCTAGGGAATACTCCTAAAACAAACTTTGCATGAAAGCATCTTTCATTTTTTTCTTACTTAATTTTATAGGATATACAAGTGCATTTACAAGTTCAAATTTTGGACAGGCATGACATAGCAGTTAAGAGGGTTTTCCCTACTTCAGAAGATATCTTATCAGGCAAGATATCTATTACAGTGCCGATCAAGTCAACTGGTGTCTACTGGATAAACAAAGTTCAGGAATATTTTCATGGAAATTATAATTTACAGCTTATGAGAGTTTGTTCTTTTGGTTATAGTGTGGTTGAAAACCCAGAAGATTACAATATTGCTAATTTGAAGTGTGAGATGAAAAAGTTAAAGAAGAAGGCCAGTGATTTGCAAGCATATGTTAAATGTGTAGACAAAGGTAAATGATGTTATAATTCTGCTCGATTTTTTGAAAACTAAAAAGAAAGAATTTAAATGAATAACCCATCAAATATCAGCAATGTCAAAATATTTGCACGACCCCCTTTGGTAGTTATTGCCCTCACTTGGGATTAAAAACCAGAAATTGTCAGCTGGATAACATTACAAAATTTTAATTAACTGTACTGTTAAATACGGATATGTCTTGTTATTGTCAATAATGATTAATTTTATCAATTTGTTTCAATTTTTGTACACCTGTCTTAAATGAAATGATTAAAATTTTTATATACTTGTGTGTCAAAGTGTTGCTTACAAGGATTTGAAAACTTTGCATAATGATATCTGTTCAAAAGACTTTCATGGATCCTCATGTTTTTGTTACATTGATCATGTTGATACACACCTTCAAATTTTGAAGGCTTAAGTTTCTTTTGCAAATGTAATAATAACTGGATCAGAAAGTAGAATGGAGTGTAGTCAGAGCCTAGTAAGCAAAGCGTAGACACAGGATTTGAATTTAACTCACATTGTGTCCTTCATTAATAAAATTTGATGAACCAATTCAAAGGAACATGTAATTCTTTAAATTTATAATATATAATTGACCTCAGAAAGGTCCCTTTGTTTGATAACTTCAAATTTTGACATTCTCGAGGTACAGTTCACTATTAGTTGAGAATTATCATAAATGTGTGTACCATAACCATCATCAATCAATTTGAATTGATCTTTTATGAAATTGTAACACACATGTCAGATTGATTAAAGAAAGCTTCCTTTTCATTTTGATGATTTTATGTCAATTGCCATGCTTAAATCATTAAAATTTCATCATTTTGTTTAATGTAGAACCATAGTTTTAATTTGCTTTTATTAATTTTATTGAAATTTAGTTGCAACACTCAGATTAATAGCAAAAAGCTACATTTCAATTCAGATGAATTTCAATAGTGTCATTTACAAATTGATGTCGAGTTGTGGGACTTTATTTAAGCAAAATATAATTTGCTATTTGCACAGCTCTGTATTGCTTTGTGTCATTATCTTGGATACTACGACAGATGGAGAGAGATTGCTACATTCTTTAATTTTTAGCATGGTTATTTATACATTTAAATTCAAAAGTCAAAAATTAACGTTTAGTCATATGAACATGTTGAAGCATTATGTACTAATGAAGTCTTTGTGTTTTTCACCATTTTCATGGTTGGCAAAACAATTATAAAAGATACAATATAACAAGTAACTGAGTGTTCACTGTCACTTGTGTAAGAATATGAGCAATTCCAGATTTGATTAAAAAAATTAAAAAGTTTATGACCATGATGACCTGTTGCAGGAATCAGAAGTTCAGTCCATATATGGAACATAAAATTTATATTTTAGAAACCTTTAATTCAACTTTTTGTATTATTTTGCTTTTTTTTAAATCAGTTGTTGTAACTTGAAGTTATTACTTGAAGCATATTACTTTACATCACTTTATATGTTCTTGTGATTAGTGGGATTTTAGAATTCATTTGATTTTATTTTTCTCTCCCAGAACGCTCACAACTTAAGAAGATAGTTACATGTAATCAGTCACAGGCAGGACAGGTGCTTTTCTCTTACTAAGAATAAATTTGTTTTGTTTTTGTTTTTGTTTTGTTTTGTTTCTTTTAATTAAAGGATATTCAGATATTCCAGTTATCAATTTTAATGGTTAATAATATATTTAATTATAGCCTTTATGTGCCAAAATAATTTACATCTGTTCTTTTTTTTACTATTCACTGGAATTTCCTTAACTTCCTTCAAAAAAATATTTTCTTCTGTTTGGTAAATGCATTTGTTTGTTAACTTAACATTTTCAGGGCAAAGAGACAAATTAGAATTGACTGTTTGTTTTACCAAACTATAACATAAAACCTCTCTTAACAAATCATAGAAGATATTATACTTAAATACACTTTTGTTTTTTTTAAATTCCATATGTAATATTATATTTATTAACATTTCCTTTAATGGTCATTACCATTTTTCAGTGAGTTTAAAAAAGAGATGATAGGTAATTTGTGAAAATGATAGGGATAGAACAATCAACATTGTGTACTATTTTTATATATAATTTATATTAAACTAGACTGTTACCTACTTGATAAAGAAATGTAAAAATAAAAAGGCTAACAATGTATATGTGTAAGAATTCACTAAGCGAGGATTTTATCATTTTTTTGTGTCAACAGTCTGCTTGTAGCTTTAAAATCATTGTTCTTCTGTTGAAATTTATCGAATCAATTTTATTTTGTAAAAGTAAACATTAAAAACTGTCTTCAATTATGTTTCAAATGTTCATACCAGCTGATTTTTTGGAACAAAAAGCATAACCTTGCATACACCTGCTTACTTTGCCTGTTGTGTTCTTGGTTATCTATATAACCAAGTCAATTTTTTCTGTGTCAAAATGTTGATTAAATTTTGTGTTTTTTTTATCATCAGATTCACATGACTGTAACTTAATTCACTTATCATAATTTTAGGAAAGATCATGTGTCAAAAAAGATAAAGATCATGTTACCAGGGTAACAGAATCAAGGACAACTTCAACTACTGCTGTCCAGGTACTACATGTATATGGTGGTATTTTTTTCCTAGTTTTCCAATCAAAGGTCGTGGTTTTCTACAGGCACTCAAGCTCGTGTATATTAACCAGAGGATGTCTCATAATATATGTACAACTTCCTCAAAGTCAAAAACTTTCACAGCGTAGCCCACAGAGATTGTTCCCATCTAAATGATATCTAGTTCTATTTGCTTTGAATGTAATTGTGAAGAAATTCTCAACATTTGAAATATACTGTTGGATATGCCCTGAAGCACAAATCATATCAAAAGTTTGGTTTATAGACAGATTATATAGTTATTGAAATACTGATTAATTGTATGATTAAAATATAGAGAAATATTTGATGCTCAGTAGTTAGGCTTCTTGATTTATTGGCAAACGGCATTTAAAGTTATTTCTGTGTAATTTCTAACAAACCTTATGATTGATGAGCATGATGAGTTCACTGTTATTATTGTAGGATAAATCTATTGAGATGAAAATAAGAAAAGAAGACGGAGCCATCAAAACAGTTGCATTTCAGGTAAATAAGTGTCTCTTTGGAGATTCTACCTATATTTTCCCATTATACCATATGGATTATTTTACTTTCTTATTTCACACAAGAACTTTTTAAATAATTTTTACATGTAGTAATAGCTGTGTTTTTCTCAATTAAACATTGGCTTTACTTTTATTTATTTTTTCACACTTTCAAACTGTTACCATTTTTTGGGGATTTCCCCCTTGAAAGCTCAAAATTAAATTTTAGAAAGAGCAATTTTGTCCAACATTAAAAACAAAACATTCAGTTAACAACAGCTATATAGGTTTGAAAAAGTATAAAAAGCCAACTTACAACATTAGAATGAATTGTATGCCCCCTTTATGGTTTTGTGGAGAACGCAACTTTTGTCGCAGAAAGCTTGACATATGGATAGTGATCCTGCTTCAGCATTAGCTAACTTCTTAAGGTGTAAATGCCCAACTGACAAATTTCACCTGACCTTGACCTCATTTTCATTGTTCAATGGTTTTTATACTACTGCAAAAAATGTTTGCGGTCGTATATTGGTATGACGTTGGCGTCGTCGTTGTTGTTGTTGTCGTCCAAAGACACATCGGTTTTCGCACAATAACTTTAGTTTAAGTAAATGGATCTCTATGAAATTTTACCATAAGGTTCAATACCACAAAAGGAAGGTTTGAATTGATTTTGGGGGTTATGGTACCAACAGTTAAGGAATTAGGGGTCAAAAATAAGTATTTTTGTAACTTCCAGACAATAACTTGTGTTTAAGTGTAGGAATCTCTCTGAAATTGTACCACAAGTTTCCATACCACAAAGGGATGGTTAGGATTGGCTTTTGGGGGTTATGGTTCAAACTGTTTAGGAATTAGGGGCCAAAAAAGGGGGGAAAACAAGGGTTTTCCTGGTTAATGGACAATTTAAAGCAGTGTAAGGGAGGTAATCCAAAAACAAAATTGTACAATGTTGTACAATGTTGGATTTCCTCCCTTACACTGCTTTTAAATTATCTATTTCAGACTTTTATGATGTATTTAAATGGGTAATTATGGTTGCAAACTCCATTGGTAATTTGAATTGAGATTATGACCATATCTTGAGGGAAAGAATTTTTTTTTTTTAAAGGGGGGGGGGGGGGGGGGGTTAAAAAAGAAATTGTGGGGTGGCAATTTTTTCTCATTTCAGATTTCAGAAATTAAACAAAATTTCTTCTTTTATTTACTTTCACATATAAAAAAGGAGGGATTTTTTGGAGTGGGGGAAGGGGGTTCAATACACAACAGCATAGTGTATTGCACAAAAGCAAAAAAAAAATGGGTTAATTTTTATTAATTTTTTTTTTTTGGGGGGGGGGAGGGGGTCAATTCACACTTAGAATTGGTTATATGATTTGAATTTATATTCAGTTTTTTGCTTTTGTGCCTACAGTGTATTGCACAAAAGCAAAAAATTGAATATAAATTCAAATCATATAACCAATTCTAAGTTCTTTGACTACAGTTATTCTGTGTTAGAAACCTATTATGTGTCAAATATTTAATTACAATCCAAATTAAGACCTGTATCAAGCCTGAATATTGTGTCCATTTTTGACCCAACTGTTCAGGGTTGGACCTCTGCAGCCGTATCCAGCTGCACTGGCGAAGCAATTTATTAGTTAAGTTGTTCGTGTTTTTGTTTATTTTTCAAATACTGTTTGCAATAGGTCTACTATATTTGGTGTATGAAAATATTTTATGATATACATGTCAGTCAGGCATATTTTATTTGACCTTGACCTGATTTTTACAGTTCATTCATTGCTCGGTGTTAAGTTTTTATTTTTATGCCCCACCTACAATAGTAGAGGGGCATTATGTTTTCTGGTCTGCGCGTCCATTCGTCTGTTCATTCGTCGGTCTGTCCCGCTTCAGGTTAAAGTTTTTGGTCAAGACAGTTTTTGATGAAATTGAAGTCCAATCAACTTAAAACTTAGTACACATGTTCACTATGATATGATCTTTCTAATTTTAATGCCAAATAATAGTTTTTTCCCCATTTCCACAGTCCACTGAACATTGAAAATGATAATGCAAGTGGGGCATCCGTGTACTATGGACACATTTTTGTTTCATATACTTTTAGCAATAGGTCAACTATATTTGGAATGATTGTAAGGTATACATGTCTGCCTGGCAGGATTCATCTGACCTTGACCTCATTTTCATGGTTCATTGATTAATGTTAAGTTTTCATTGTTAAGTTTAATCTTAGATATGCAAAAGGACAACTATATGTAATTTAAAGAATATTTGGTGTAAGGAATGATTGTAAGGTGTACATGTTTTCCAGTTTTATCTGACCTTTGACCTCATTTTATTTGATTAGGTTAAGTTTATGTGATAGTTGTAGTACAGTTTATATTTAGAACTATTAACATAATATCAATGGTTAGTTGAGAAAGCAGGACATTTCAGCGTGTGCACTCTTATTGTAGGATTATAAGAGACATGCATATTGCTCATATAACCACTACTGTAAATTCAGAAATTATTGCGTGCATTTATTATTGCGATTTTTGTAGAATGGACAAAAATGCGAGATTAATTATTGCGAGTTGTACAAAAACTGCACACATTTATATCTGTCAGATATCAGAATGCGAGTTCTTATTTTCTTAGCATTTTCGGGAGGAAACAATTAAATATTTGGTCTTGATTTAGCAAAGGTTGAAATAAAAGTACTTGTATTTTTTATACGACCGCAAACAAATTTTTGTGGTCGAATATTGGTATTACGTTGGCGTTGTCGTCCTCGTCCGAAGACACATTAGTTTTCGCACTCTAACTTTAGTTTAAGTGAATGGATCTCAATGAAATTTTACCATAAGGTTCAATACCACAAAAGGAAGGTGCGGATTGATTTTGGGGGTTATTGTACCAACAGTTAAGGAATTAGGGGCCAAAAAGGGGCCAAAAATAAGCATTTTTGTAACTTCCAGACAATAACTTGTGTGTAAGTGTATGGATCCCTCTGACATTGTACCACAAGGTTCTATATCACAAAGGGAATGCTGGGATTGATTTTGGGGGTAATTGCCTCCAAATTTTAGGAATTAGGGGCCAAAAAGGGGCAAAAAACAAGCATTTTTCTAGTTTCATGACAATAACTTGTGTGTAAGTGTATGAATCTCTCTAACATTGTATCACAAGGTTCCATATCACAAAGGGAATGCTGGGATTGATTTTGGGGGTAATTGCCACAAAATTTTAGGAATTGGGGGCCAAAAAAAGGGACAAAAAACAAGCATTTTTCTAGTTTCTTGACAATAACTTGCGTGTAAGTGTATGGATCTTTATGAAATTGTACTACAAGGTTCCATATCACAAAGGGAAAGCTGGAATTGAGTTTGGGGGTATTTGCCCTAAACGTTTAGGAATTTGGGGCCAAAAAGGGGCAAAAAATAAGCATTTTTCTAGTTTCCAGACAATAACTTGTGTTCAAGTGTATGGATCTCTCTGAAATTGTACTGCAAGGTACCATACCACAAAGGAAAGGCTGGGATTGATTTTGGGGGTAATTCCTTCAAAATTTTTGTAATTAGGGGCCATAAAAGGGCAAAAAAACAAGCATTTTTTCTAGTTTCAGGACAATAACTTGTGTGTAAGTGTATGGATCTTTATGAAATTGTACTGTAAGGTTCCATATCACAAAGGGAAAGCTTGGTTTAAGTTTTGGGGTAATTGCCCTAAACGCTTAGGAATTTGGGGCTAGAAAGGGGCCAAAAAACAAGCATTTTTCTAGTTTCCAGACAATAACTTGTGTTCAAGTGAATGGATCTCTCTGAAATTGTACTGCAAGGTACCATACCACAAAGGGAAAGCTGGGATTGAGTTTGGGGGTGATGAATCATAAGAGGGTTCAAAAAATTGGGGGGGGGGGAGATTTTTTTTTCATTTTTTTTCTTTAAAATTTTCCATTTTAAATTGGTTATTTCTGATTTATATATAAAAGCAAATAATAATGATATGGTTTGAATAGGTAAATAAAAAAATTTTAAGTTCTTAGACCACTTTCATTCTGTGTCAGAAACCTATGCTGTGTCAAATATTTAATTACAATCCAAATTCAGTGCTGTATCAAGCTTGAATGTTGTGTCCATACTTGCCCCAACTGTTCAGGGTTTCGACCTCTGCGGTCATATCAAGCTGCGCCCCAGCGGAGCATTTTATTAAATTTAAACTTCTTGTTTTCTGATAGGTTGACTAAAATTTTACACCAGAATATTACTCAATCTTTGAAAGGGAACAAAATACATAATGCCCCTAGGTGAGTCCAGGGACTATACTACCGTACTAGGGGCATTACTTTTTTGGTCTGTGGGTCTATCCATTCATCTGTATGTCCTGCTTCAGGTTAAAGTTTTTGGTCAAGGTAGTTTTTGATGAAGTTTAAGTCCAATCATCTTGAAACTTTGCACACATTTTAATGCAAAATTAGAGTTTTGAACCAATTTTCACGGTCGACTGAACATAGAAAATGATGATGCAAGAGGGGCATCGTACTATGGACCCATTCTTGTTATATCTCTTATAAATTACCAGGCTGAATATGAAGGTTTATCATCAGATGAAGATACTACACTCCAACTTACTAGTCAGGCAGGTGGAGGCAAAGAAGATAAAGTTTTAATTTTGGTTGAAAGATTGTCAATGTATGAGGCAGGAGTTCAGAGTGCTAAGTCAGCAGGTGATACCTCTAAACAGAAAAGATATGGTAGAGCCCTTAAGGTACATTATGTATTTTTAGATGAAATGACTGACAAGACCTTCTTTTTATCTTCATGAATTGTCTTATGAAATATATTGACATTTACTGAACTGGTATTGCTTCTTATTTTGGGTTATTTTTGTAGAAAAAACTAAATATAAAGAAAAAACCATTACACAGGTATTGAAATACTGTTATACCCTTATCTATCTGTCCGCTGCATTTTTGTTCATCAGTCAGTGTGTCTTATTAAATGTCATCACATTTTTCGCAGGAACTAACTATCAAGGCTTTCTCCAATCTGGGAATCAAGGTTCATATGAGCGAGTTAATCTGTGTGCTACAGGTTCAAATTCATCACTTAACAACTTCTGGTTTAAAGTCATATGAAACGAGTGACCGGTAAAAAAAATCCAATTCTTGAACCAATGCATACATATATCATGAACTTGTCTTCTGTGCATGATTTTATCATTTTTTTCACATACATTTCGTAAAATCGTCAAAAATATTTCAATGTATAAGTGTTGTTGTAAAAATATGGCAGCTAATTAATGGTCGTGTTTTGAAGCCGAAGTTTAACGATTGACACCTATTTGTAAACAATCAACAAAGAAGCACGGATATTCAGGTAAGCACGTGTATAACAGGTACAATAAGATATGGTTTATCTTGATGACGGAGCGATGTTTACGTTTCATTTTCCATTCACACTTGTGTATTGCGATCACAGGATTTTTTACATAAAGTCCTGCTGAGGTAACTGCATACGCAAAACATGTCTTAGAATAGTTTGCTGGAAGCAAGCAATTAAACAAAGTAAACCTTCTAAATTTTGACAAATTAGAGAATTTTCTTGAGAAAAAGGTATATGTACATAAGTTTTATAATAATTGCTAGCCATTTAGTAATAAAAAACACTAGAACACACCCGCAAAATCGCGGGCATTTATATTTTAGAGCATATGTAAATTTTTGCAGGATAATTTTTTATAAAATAATTTATAACTGGTCAATTTCAGGAAAGGTATCAAAAGTCATAGGTACTTGGGGACAGGACAATTTTTTTTTTGCCCTCCCCCTTTTTTCCAAAGATCGATTTTTTTTGGGGGGTTTTCTGTTTTTTCTGTATACTATGAACATACATATACTATAAATACTATCATGAAACGGTCAGTGATATATTTTATCATATACATATATAATAGCTTATCTATGATTATATAGAGACTCTCTATATAATATATCAGTGACCGCCATAGATAGTAAACTATTGGAATTGATAATATATAGCAAATGCACTTTATTTGTAGTACATGTATATGTATGATCATAGTATACAGAAAAACGTGAAAAATTATTCATCTGTCCCCAAGTACTTGTAAAAAAAATTATGTAATTTTAAAATAGTCCTAAAAGGAAGTCCTTTTCTCAAACATGTCAAAGGTCAGTCTGATGAAGGAAACAATATCCGGACGCCTTTTTTTTCCATTTTCCTCCCAAAATAACCAAAACTGAATAATCATAAGCAAGGATGATACATGCGACTATGCATTCTACCTAAAGGACACAGAGGCATGATGATTAATTTATTGTGGAAGAAAGAGAAGCGACACACAAAATGAGGTCTTCTCATTTAATAGTATAGATAATGCATATTTTTTTTTAATTTGAAGTTTCATATGATTTGACAAACACTTTTACATTGTACTCATATAGCCAAGTGGCAAATTGATTTTGATATGGTTTTGGCAGTTAACTACATACAGGCAAGTAATATTCCTTTACATTTCATGTTTATTTTGGTTTTTTACAATATGTTTTTCCCTGATATTTACAGACAATACAAGATTTACTACAGCAGACGCATCAAGGAAAGCTAGTTGATGAAAGTGATATACCACCTAGAATACCTGTTGATGAGCCAAAGAAACAAAGACCAGGTATAACCACACTAGATCAATGTTACGTTTAATGAAACCGTAATAAGAATTTTGTTACAGTCCTACAATATTTTATAAAGTTTTCTAACAGTCTCACAGGACATGGATTCACAAGTTATCAATGTTGGAATGTCCCCAAACATCATACCAAAAGAAAGAAAGAAGTTCAATCAGATTTTTTATACACACATCACAATTTCATTTCAACTGAACATTTTTAATATTGATTATTCTGATGATCTAATTGTTAAAAAGTGTTAGGCCAGTCATTCCAGATGTATTTCCCTTTGTTGATGGTTATCTTTGTTAAAACTTTTACAAATAAACAAATTTTACATAAAGGGATAAATTCTGGACAGTCTTGCAAACAAAAAAATTATAATTTTTATATGAGAAGCCTGCTTTTCATATGTTTTGTAAATTTTTTTTGTTTAAACCAGATAAAAAGGAAGAGTTCTTGAGATAAATCTTGGAATAAAGATTGCAGTAGGTTTATTTACTAACATTGATGACATGTATATTTCAATTGTTTATTTAACAGAAGGGGCAACAAAGCAAAGTGAAATACAACCAACTGTCAAGCCTACTACAAAATCACACAGTGAACAACCAAGTACATCACCTTCTTCACAACAAACCCTAGAATTGAACAATGAACCAACATCACCATCACATGGTATTTATTCTAGATCTCGTAAATGGGTCAATGGTTTCAAAACACAGTTGACATACATTCTCATTATTAGGGCCCCGCCGATTGCCGCCCTATAGTGATCAGTCTGTCCGTCTGTCTGTCCGTCCATCCATCCGTCTGTAACAATTCGTGTCCACTCTATATCTAGAGAACTGTTATGATTTCAAAGTTTATACTTGATATGTATATAAACAAACACCAGAGGGTGTGTCATAATTTATGTACAACTTCCTAGGTCAAAGGTCAAGGTCAAAAACTTTGGTTTCATTTGACAACCCCATGTCCAATGATAAAGATACAAATTTTTTACCACACATTATTCACAGCGGGGCCCACAGAGATGGCTCCCATCTCAATGATATCTAGTTTTTTCAGGGTTTGTCTATATTCATCTGAATATTGTTGAAGTCATATTAAAATTTTTTTATAACATTCCTAATTTCGGTGTTTATAAGATTAATAAGATAAAACATACAGTTCCATGCATCAGAAATCACTTTAAATGGTAAAACTTTATTCATATTACGAGTTAATCCTTAGTCAAAATGATTTTGTATAACCTGTTTTTTTCAAAAACTATTCTAAAAAACCTTCAAAATTTAGTGACTGCAATAATTCTTGCAAATTAGGAGACTTACAATTATGGTGTCTGTATTTTAGAAATAGAAACAGAGCAGATGATAGAAACAAAAAGAGATCAGTACAAAACAACAACTCTGCAGCCAAAGCAGTCTGGGGATATTAACACAGCTATAAGTAATGTACAGACAGCCAAGGTATAAAATAATTTGATATCAGTATATGACTTTTAGCAAAAGAAAACAAATGTAATTCCTAATTGATAGTATGTTTATGTCTTAAAATGAGCATTTCTTGCTAATAACTTGAATTAATAAACAGTATCTGAGATGTTCTTCCCATGACCCAAAAGTGTGCTTTCCTCATCACTCATTTTCTGTTCAGTTTTACAAAAATCTTCTCATCTGAAAGTATTGAGCTAAAAAATTCAATCCAACTTTGCATTGACCATTCCTTGGGTACATATATGGCCACTGTAGCTTAAAAAAGAACATATGGGCATAATGCAGACAGGAGGGCGGACTATAGAGTGGGATAAGCAAGAAAAAGAGGGGGGGGGGGTAAAAGGTGGTTTGTTCACTTTCTGCCATGTTTGGTATTGATATTGTAGTGGGCACTATTTTTATGAAACTACTGGGCCAAATTTAACCAAACTTGGCCACAATCATCATTGTGAAATTTAGTTCAATAAATGTATCCAATGACCTGGCCAACCAACTAATTATAAGATTGCCACAATGGCTAAAAATAGAAAATATAGGTAAAATGTAGATTTCGGCTTATATCTCTGAAACCAAGGCGTTATTAAAGGACAAATCTGACATGGTTTAATATTGTTCAACAGGTCATGATCTATATGCCCTGAAATATTCAGACAAATCAGACAACCCCTTGTTGGGTTGCTGCCCCTGAATTGGTAATTTTAAGTAAATGTTGCAGTTTTTGGTTATTATCTTGAATATTATTATAGATATAGATAAACTATAAACAGCCTGACCATGCCTGCAAACCAACATGGCTAAAATTATAACATATGGGAAAATGCAGTTTTTGACTTTAATCTCTTAAACATCAATTGTAAATAAAATTATCATGTGAGTGACACAGGCTCCTTGGAGCCTCTAGTTTACTTTCAAAGTTGTATTCTAGTGGTATCTATTTAGTATATATTTTCCGTACACTATTACTGTATTTATTTTTTCATACGTGGTTATTCAAACTTCCAGTTTGCTCATTAACATATACAAGTTTCTAAATTGTCTTTTGGATTTTAATTTATTTTAACACCAGTGAAGTGAAGTGAAGTGTTCTAGAATTATTTCAAGCAGTTTTAACTTCTACATGAAGATAGAAAACAGGTTTTTCCATGAAAATACCGCAAACAACCACACAGGATTTGAAATTACTGGAGTTTCATTAGACATTTCCTAATAATAATAAAAAGGTTTTTTTTCCTGATATTTCATGATGAGAAAGGATACAATTGAGGACAATGTACCTGTGCGAACTATACAAATTTAATATCAATGTTTATATACAGGTGTGACTAGCAGTAATAGAAATAAAGGATAATTTTAATCTTTACAGATTCCATCACAAATGAGTGGTCATGGTTCTCCTCAGGACAGGAAACCAGTTCCTAAAATAGCTGATCAAGTAGGCTTTGGAGGGGAGAAAATGAGTACTGGTAAAAGGCCTGACAGAAAATTTGAGGATTCTCCATATATTCAGGTATGTTTAGGTGCATATTGTTAAACATCATGTAAATGGCATGACACAAAAAAAATATTCTTTTTTTTTCTGCCAGCCTCTTATAAGCTCAGTGTTCTGAATGAAATGTGAGCTTTAGCCATCACTGGGTGTCCGATGTCGTCTTCAATTTGGTGTAAACTATTTCAATCAACTTCTTCTCTGAAACTACAGCTATACCAATTCCAACCAAAGTTCCGCTGAATGATCCTTATGGAATCTAGAATATAGTATGTGTTTTATTTTCTGTTTCGTAAAAAAACATGGCCGACATGGCTAACAATAGAACATCGGGGGTAAAATGCCGTTATTGGCTTATATCTCAAAAACTAAAGCATGAAGAGCAAATCTGAAATCGGGTAAACATGTTCAGGAGGTTAAGTTCTATCAGCCCTGGAATTTTTAGATGAATCTAACAACCCATTGTTGGGTTGCTGCCAGTAAATTGGTAATTTTAAGGAAATTTAAGTTTTGGGTTATTAACTTGAATATTATTACAGATAAGCAAACAACAAAAATTTTCATCAAAGTAAGATTGATTAATAATGTTACGTGGACAAAATTGTCAATTGACCCCTAAAGGAGTTATTGCCCTTTAAATACAATTTTACACAATTTGTTTATCATGTTTTCTAACTTTAAAAAATATGGAAGAATTAAAAGTTTCGAACTGTTTGACAAATTCCATTTCCATTTATGTTATCTCTATCCTTTATTTCATAAGGGGTACAGTAATATATATTAAACTATATCTGAAATTTTGAATACCAAAAACAATTTTACATTTTATTATGACAGATTGTTATTCTTGTAATAGATTTTAATGCATTCATTTCAGCAATTTTGTCATGTAGTAAATAAATAATAACAAAATATAAAACCTTATCATTTTTAAATTGTCAAGTGCATAGTTTTTTATAGTTCAAGAGGGATTATCTCTTTCAGGAGGATTCCTTGAGAATAGATATAAGTGACAGCGAAGGGGACACTAGTGAAGCTTCGGTAAGATATCAGTAATATAAGTAATATGCATGCTATTTTATAGATTCATCACAAGCCTATAATATGTAGAACAATTAGAAGGCCTCTGATTTGCTTTTTTATTGACATTTTAAATCCGTGGATTTTCTTTAGTGTAATAAAATCATAAATCTTTTACCTATGCATGTTTGTATTCATATGTTTAATAAGATATTCATTGTCATTAATTCTGAGATTAATTGTCTGAAATCACTTACGTATAAGTGAATAGATGTATATGAAATTTAACTATAAGGGTTATGGTCCCAACTGTTTCGAATTAACGTTTTTCTTGTTTCCCGCCAGTAACTTGTGTGTAAGTGTCTGGATCTCTGTCAAATTGTACCACAAAGTTCCAAACCACAAAGTGAACATTTGGGGTTATGGCCCTAAAGTTCAGGATTTAGGGGCAAAATGGGGAAAAACAAGTTTTTTTTTCTGGTTTCTGGACAATTAAGTATTAGTCGATGGATCTCTCTGAAATCATATCAAAAGGTTCTGTACCACACACAGTAGGTTGGGGTAGATTGTGGGGGTTATGATTTCAACCATTTAGAAACTAAATGCCAAATAGGGGCCAAAAACCTTTCTTATTATGGCTAAGCTGGTTTAACATAGATTATTTCTGATATATAGTGTAACGGTATGTCTCTTCCCTGAAATGGAACTTGTTTCCTCTAAAATTGTGTGTTTAAATTGTCCTGATAATTGACCTTTCTTATTATATATTTCTTGTATAACTATGTTAAATCATTGTTTACTCTAAAACTTTTTATTATTCTGTCCTATGTTTTTACATTTGGAACAATTCTGAAATGTTTATTCCATGACGTACAATGACGTCAGTTCCGGTTTTAGTAATTAATTTTCCTAAATGGTAAATGGTAAATGGTAAACCAAATCCGTAAATTGGATTACCTAAGTATAAATACGGCGGAGAATACAGATAAGTCTTAAGCAAGACTTTACCCTGGTCAAGTAACACTCGCTAATACCAAGCGATTTTGATATACGTACAGATACCATGTGGGTTTGTTAGTTCCTTTACAAAAAGCATTTTGGGAATACTTCCTGAGAGAAACTTTATCTTTTGACATTGAATTTGATTTACCATTTGCCACTTACCAAACTACAATAAGTTAACTTTCTTGGTATATTTTTCCTCTATCCATTTTCTTTTATTCACGATAATCTAAGGTTTATAAAGTATTTATCTGTTACACTAGAATACTGTTAAAATATTTAATATTTATATGTATTGTTGATATTTAATGCATCTTAAAGTTAATACAAGATTATTTTTATTTAACGAGTCTGTTATTCTTACAAACATTGAGAATTACCATACAAAAACCTTTACTCCAATCTACCGTTTTATATCCGAGTCATTACCTTACCAGAAGAACCAACCTTAACTGTGTGTATAAAGAATACCAGAGTACCACATAGAAACACATTACCAGAGTACCACTCTACCAAAAAAGGTTGACCAAATATAACTTATATTTTATTGAACAAGAGTGTTGTCATACACTACAATCATTCAGATGTCTGCACTTATTAAATGGCTCTTCAGACAGCAGTAAATTTATTTCCATTAAGTTGGGAAAAAGTTAATGTCTTGGGGAATGATAAACTTGCCATTGCCCTCGAACTCATAGCCAGTCAATAAGTGTATGTTATATAATTCTTCAAATTTCCTTCTTCAAATTTCATCAATGGATACAGTTAATTTTTGTTCATTATTTAATAATTTGATATTAAAACTGTGTGATATTTGCATTTTTATTGTTTTAATAGTTGCCAACAATGAACATTGTGAAAAAGATGAAAAGGGTTGAAACAGGTATAGTAAATGGCTGGTTGCACCAACATGAATTCAACTCCTACACAGTTTTCAACCCTGATCTCTAAAACTTTACAGACAAATTTTCCTTATTGTTGAAATTTTGCACTTGCTATTATAGAATAATATAAAATAAATTAATAAACTGTGTATTTTTATGCATGACTTCTGGGCATTGTGTGTATGGTCTGTCCGTTCATTTGTCTGTCTGTCCCACTTCAGGATAACGTTCTTGGTCAAGGCAGTTTTTGATGAAGTTGAAGCTCCATCAACTTGAAATTTATGATGCATGTTCCTTTTGATATGATCATTCAAATTGCAATGCCAAATTAGAGTTTTGACACAATTTCATAGTCCACTGAACATAGAAAATGATAGTGTGAGTGGGGCATCTGTGTACTACGGAGACATTATTGTTTTTTTAATGATTTCTTACAATTTTCAATTCAACACATAAACCGCCAAATTTGAACTTCACTGTTAAATTTCATATGTAATATTGTCCTGAAGAAGCCATGCTTGTTGGCGAAACATGTCGACCAGAATAAACTTTTACCATGTGGTAATTGATGTGTGTTGTTGTCTTTATTATCGTTTCATTTTACCTATCTTGTGAAAGACAACTGTGGATACCTTTTGGTATCCACCCACTTTTAACCAACCACACAATTACCACTTCAGGTGTTGGTTCACCTTGTTGAAGGATGTTTGCTTCTCAGTTTCAAAATATCAAGCTTTTCATAACACTAGTATATATTGATAGGGTATTAATAAAGGAACCAAAAGAGCCAAAAATAAATATAGGTCAATGTGCTTGTTCTGAAATAATAGCCATTGAAAATTTGGCGGGAAAATGTTCTCTCTTGATTTTTCATAGCTTTATCATTGACAAGTTTTAAGTTCTCAAAACCTATTAAAAAATATCAAAAGATTTTATAAGACTTTTATAGATGGCTTATAATTATACATGTAAAAGATTTATTTTAAAAGAAAATGGGGGTCAATGCTCAAAATTTTTTAAGGCATTCAAATGGATATAATCAGATGATTCCGAAAATTTGACAAAAATTCCTAAACATGACAAGCGAACATCCTTAAGTTCAATTTTCAATTAAATACAAAACTTTAATGGTTACCTGCTTGTCTTTCAAAAAAACAGTTTCAAAAATATTAAGTAAAATATCATATTCATACAATTAGTGACACAACAAAGTATGTTAACAATTTTTTTAGTGAAAGAAGATGTCATTATTTTATATTTAAATTTATAATTTTGGAAACAAATGGCATAAAAAAAAACACAATAGAAAAATACTTCTTTGAAGTCCGTTTAGTTGGTTAACACAACTATAATCTTTTACAGGTTGTAACCTGCTGACCTTGGAAGAGAAGAAGAAATTGAGACATGATGCAAGTATACTTAAATTTACATTTAGCTTATATTCTTTAATTACTGTCATAAGTTCATGACTGAATAAATACATTAGATTATGTTTCACAAAAATCCAGTAGTTTGATTGGTTAACAGCAATTGTATGTCATTCTTAAATTAACCTTCTTTTCAAAATGAAATGTAACATTTATGATGACATGTGCTTCCTCAAAAAGTGCCTACCCACACTTTAAAAAAGTGGGAGTATACTGCTTTACCTCTGTCAGTCCATCTATCCACCCATGAATATTTTTTGTCAAAGTGGGGTTATACTTCATTACTTCTCTCTGTCTCACTGTCAGTCCATCCATCCGTCAGTCCGTCTGTAGTACCATGAATATTTTTTGTCGCATCTTTCTCAGGAACTATATTACAAGGATTTCTGAAATTTGGTTTCAGAGTTGATATGTTTCTGCTATGATGTGTGATGCGTTTTCAGATCCTATATATAAGTCAGTTATGCCATGTGATGCTTTCCAGATTCATCACTAAACCATTTCCTGTTTACTGAACACTTACATAACTTTACACATTTGTAGCCAAGTTGAAAAATTTCTTGATATTTTTCACAAGTACTACATCACAAGGATTTCTGGAATTTGGTTTCAAGTTTTATGTATAAAGTCAGTTGTACCATGTGATGCATTTGCACATCCATCACTCAACAACTTCCTGTTTAGCGAAGTGGGTGAGGGTATTATCAGTGAGCAGTTCCCTCTAAGTTTTACTTCTGTCTATATGTATATTCCAAAAATTGGTTTTCTTTGTCTAACTCTACTTTGCCTAAACTATGTGTATAATTTTCATCTTAGTTGTAGATCCATTTGTGGACTTGGATTGTTGTCCACAACTTGTTGGGGTTGCTCTCTCTATGACACATGTTTGTGGGTTTCCTTCTTCTTTAATATTACAAACAAAAAATGTGGTTTCATTCTATACCCAGCATTATTTTATTTATGCTTAAAGCCTTTTAATTAATTTTTATTTCCAGATGGCAAAGGATTTTGTCCCAGGGAAACCTGGATTGATTTCAAAAGAATTTATGGTCCTGAATAAGGATTCAATTTATTCAAGATATTTTGACAGTTCCACCACAATTAAGGCAAGTATTTTAGGTTAATCAGAATAAACTGACTTTCCAATAGAATAACTTTCATAAATTTGAATTATAAAATAACTTCATTTTCTGTCTAACATATGTATGGTTAATAAGTTAAGTTTACAGTAGTTAAGCTCAAAGTTATGCAGTGTATATTGTTTTCCAATGTACTCCAAACTGTGACAGAGAGAATGATAATGCCTTTAGACACCTAGTATTACTTAATAGTACTGTCATGATACATTGATATCTAATGATACCTGCCTAATGAATTGCGAAGAGAAAGATTTTTATACTTGGTCACTACCTTGACAATGATGAGTTGTGATGTGTATACACTATTCAAATTTGTTGAGCACCAACAACCTTTTTTGTGTATACTTTGAAGTATGGGTGTTAAGTATGCTGATTTGCACTCAAACCACTTCTTCTTTATATTAAATTAGCATTTCTTACTGTTCATTCTTGTTATGTTTTAACAAATGATAATGTTGATTATATATTTATATATTACAGGGTCTTTACAATTGGATAGTGGCAACAATTCCTTATGAAATGTTGCCAGCTAAGTTCATCCTAAAATGTTTACAATCATGCAAGGAGGTGGACTGTTGCCACGCTTTTCCAATATCAACAGTGATGGACAGAGATGTATTTTTACGCTCCGTCCCAACAAAGTTAATGATCTCTCCAATTGTAAGTTTACGATAAGCAAACATGAAAACTTGATACATTATTTTCTGTACAACCAAAACAGACAGAATATGTTCCATTACTGTCGCATTTATTCAATTTCTAGCACATACAAATAGGAATAAAAAGTTTCCTTTGTCAAAACCTTGCCGGTTGGAAGCTAACTGCCATAATAAATAAAAAAATGCAAATGGGAAAATCAGCATTGTGATAGAGGTACAAAAATAATACAAAATTGATTTTTATTGACAATCACAGTCACTGATTTATAAATTCTGACTCAAGGCAACATCAACTGAAACTGAAAAAGATTTTCTTTTTTTCTTTCTAAAATCTATCTTATCTTATTTTATCTTATAGACATCTACATATCAGGTTAAAAATTACAGCCAATTTCACTGAGTGTGTAGCTAAAGGTAATATCTTCGGTTAGCTTGCTTGCTAGCTGAACTGTGAAGTCATTATAAGGTAAGGTATACTACCCTCCTTTCTGAGTAGCTTTTTCCTACAGACAGATAGATTGGTTATCTGTTGGACTAGTCTATTCTTAAAGGAGGGCAGTTTACCTTACCTAATAATGACTTCCTGGTTCAGCTAGCTTGTGGTGGAAATGTGATTGTCTGACCATAACCAAAGATATTAACTTTAGCTACACATTCAGTGAAATTGGCTGTAATTTTTAACCTGATATGTAGATGTCTATAAGATGAAATAAGATAAGATAGATTTTATTTCCAATAGAGGACCCATTATAGGCATAGTCAGTACATTGATTTTGTTTATATCACACAATTGCAATAGACAATACAATGTCTATATTAAATATGTAGTCACTAATTGCATCCAGTATAAAAGAAAATGTACACTTCATTTGTGTAAAAGGCAAACTTCAATGACAGATAAGCATCTTGAAATAATATTTTATGATTTCTTTTTTGGCTTTTAAGTTCATGTATTTACTTTTGCAGTGTGACAATCCTGAAACTACCTTTACCTGTTATGATGAGGTGTATTTCAGTTATGGAGACCTTTAAGGAACAGGACCAGTAAATGAAAGCAGACTAATGTGTATTTAAATTAAAGAAAACATTGTAAAATATTGCAAGAATAATTTTTTTATTGATTTATACATGTACTTGGAAGTGGAAAAGTTTTGATGTAATAATGTTCATAATTGTCAGATCTTTTTTGAAAAAAAACATCTATAATGGTTTCATTCCATATAAAAACTGACATGGTTGTCAATAAGTAAGGTTGTTTCTATTACAAAAAAACCCTGATAGTTACAAATTGTTGAACACTTTTTTGCATATGTAATTTTCATTGATATTTTGGTTTTATCAAACTGATGGTTTTGGTTTTATCAAACTGATGGTTTTGGTATTTTAACGCTATAAAATGAGGTCACAATTACCTAAAAGCTTTTGCCATTACTTTGCTTCCATCTTCCTCAACCAACAAGAACCAAACTTAAGTTAAATGATCCTTGAGTATCTAGAATATAGTTTGTGTTTTATTTTCTGTTTCATCAAAAAACATGGAAGCCATGGCTAAAAATAGATCACTGGGTAAAATGCTGTTCAAAATTTATCTGTTCATGAAATTTAAAGACCAATTTGACAACCCGTTGTTGGGTTTATATAATAAATTTCTTAGTTTTCAATTGTCTGAGTATTTTTTTAGATTAAGAGAAACTGTAAACAGTGAAAATTCATAAGGGTTCAGTGGAACCAAGTGTCTCACCTACTTTTGATGTTTGTGGCAGGCTCAAAAAATTTGGAAAAATGTAGGATCACTAGGTCTCGCTGCAGGCTTGATAAAGATGTAATCCTCAAATAAGTGAATGACAAAAATATATCTTTTATAAGAGTTAGGCCAAATACAAATATATGTGTGGTTACAGTTACCCTACCTTCCGTACTTTTTAGTCTGAACAATAAAGCCTACCCAAAAGAAAATTTTTTGTCATTAGTTCAGCACAGATATAGTCAGAATGTTGCTCCTATACACATAATGTAAAAAAAAAACAACTTAAAATTGAAATAAAATTACTAACTACCTACCCTTAATTTTTTTTTACTGAAACCACACATACTTTTCTATTGCTTTTTATGTATGATTTGTACATTTTTAGCTCACCTGGCCCAATGGGCCAAGTGAGCTTTTCTCATCACTTGGCGTTTGTCGTTGTCCGGCGTCCATCATCCGTTAACCTTTACAAAAATCTTTTCCTCTAAAATTATTGGGCCAAGTTTAACCAAATTTGGCCACAATCATCATTGGGGTATCTAGTTTAAAAAACGTGTCCGATGACCCGGCCAACCAACCAAGTTGGCAGCCATGACTAAAAATAGAACATAGGGGTAAAATGTAGATTTTGGCTTATATCTCTGAAACCAAAGCTAATATGACCTAAACAAAAAGCAAAGATAATCATTGATGACTAGGTGTGCAATTCAGGCTCTTTGAACAAAGAGTTATCAATAGATTTATGGCCAAGTTTATGTGATGATCAGCCAAAAAATAACATTATTTTTGTCTTATACACAAATCTTATCCATAATAAATATCTTGTGTTCTTATGTTTTTTTTTTAATACTGTATCATGTTGTCATGGAAATAGACAGAAATATGTGAAACAAAAGACTGTGTGCTTGTATAAGCAGCTCATAAAACACTGATAATTTGTACACTTTGTGAAAATGATAATGTTTACAACATTACAAATTGTATACAATAAATATACACAATGATGTACAGTTCTGCTTTTAAATTTTATAAATGGACAAAATAAAACTTCAAATGATTTAATGTGTTTTACAATAAATCACACTTTGTATTTGAACAACTTTATATCTGAAAGTAGCTTCACAGGGTTAATTCCCTTTTTTCAATTTAACACTTGTACACTTTATCTTTAAATTACCCAGAAATACCACACTAACAGTAATAAAACATGAATGATTTTCTTGCATTTGTTATATCATATGCTTGATAAGGATACCTGCTTCTTGTGCAACTTCTGCAACTATTAGATAATCAGTATAAGTGTGTGTTCAGACTCCAAAAGTTTGTCTGCACAATATAGCTTGTTATTATCTCTGTTTGGGATTTGGTATGGAATATGTTTAAAAGATTTGAAAAACATTAATTTTTCTGAAAATCTGTCTTGTCATTACGTTTGGATATCTGTCAATACCTTAATTTTTTGTATCCATCCGTATAATTTTGCAGGGGCATGGTAAATATAATTGTAGACAAGCCCCGTCCATCTTTGCAGCCATTATTGTTTCTTGGTGCAAAATCAATTACTTAAGTAACAATGGAAATATATTTGAAATTTAGTATCAACTGGAATATATACTAGAACTATATCAACCAATGGAAAGTATGTAAATCAGCTGCCATGTTACAAGTAATTACTGAAGAAAATGGTTTGTTAAAATTTGGTGAGCTACCCAAAATAGACACAAGTGACAATAATTGAGATCCAGCAGCCAAAACTCTCTAAGCTGTTCCAAATTCAGTTGTTGATTCTGTCATTTTGTTTTTTGTAGATTGTTTTGTTATAATTTAGGCAGTTAGATTCTTTGTTAGAATTTTTTCACATTTTTGTCCAGCCTAGGCGGTACAGGGATAGTGATTTGGTGGTGGCTTAACTAACTTCTTAAAACCTTTCTATTTTAAAAGGTGGAAGACTTGCATGCTTCATTCTGTGTATATAAATACCTTATGTTACAAAGTTTCCATCTGTCACATGTCAAATGTCCTTGACCTCATTTTCATGGTCCAGAATATTTGATGTTTGCATACTTTGCAAGGTCATCATGCTCGTCTGACAGTTTTCACTTGACCTCGACCTCATTATATGGATCAGTGAACAAGGTTAAGTTTTGGTGGTGAAATCCATATCTCAGATACTATAAGCAATATGTCTAGTATATTTGATGTATGGAAGGATTGTTAGGTGTACATGTCCAACTGTCAGGTGTCATCTGATCTTGACCTCATTTTCATGGGTCAGTTGTCAAAGTTAAGTTTTTGAGTTTTGGTCTTTTTTCTTCTAATACTAAATTTAATAGGTCAACTATATTTGGTGTATGGAAATATTTCATGATGTACATGTCAAGTCTCCCAGGTTATATTTGACCTTGACCTCATTTTCATGATTCAGTGGTAATAGTAAAGTTTTTGTGTTTTGGTCTGTTACACTATTAGCAATTGGTCAACTATATTAGTTGAATGCAAGGATTGTAAGATGTACATGTCTGCCTGGCATTGTTCATCTGACCTTGACCTCATTTTCAGGTTAAGTCTGTTTCTTTGAAGCTAAGCAATATGTAATCTATATTTAGTGTATTGAATGATTGTAAGGTGTACATGTATTTCTAGTTTGATTTCTATTACCTTGACCTCATTTTCTTGGATCATGTTAAGTTTATGTGATAATTGTAGTAAAGCTTTATATTAAGGACTATCAAAGGTGAGTAAAGAAGCAAGAGATTTCAGCATATGCTCTCTTATTCATGTTGAGTCCTTTTACAGCTGACTTACTTTATAGCATGGGGACTATACAAGCTTACATCCACTCATTTGAGCTGTAATGGATACCGGTAGGTGTCTAGTTGGCAATGATACCACATCCTCCTTATTTGTATTAACATATAAATCTGGCAAAGAGACTGGGAGAAACTGGGTTTTTATAGCTTATACAAAATACTGTATAACTCAACATAAAGACATGCATACTTTCCTGGTAAGGAAAACGTACAATTTAAGACAACTATAAATACAAGAGCTTGCTGTGCGGTGTGAGCCTAGTGTGCTACGTGTTGAAGACCGTACTTTGACCTATAATGGTTTACTTTTATAAATTGTGACTTGGATGGAGAGTTGTCTCATTAGCACTCATACCACATCTTCTTATATCTAAACAAGAGTATTCCAATTGAAAACATAAATATGGAAACCATATCAAGAATGTCAAAAAGAAAAAAAACAACAACATGTGAATCGAAAGCATTTTCATTGGTATGATTGTTATCAAGCTATTACTTACATAATAACTGACCATTATGTATAGGTGTATCAACAAAAAATGACATATACAAAGCTACTATCACTGCAGAAATGTTAAATAGTATCATATACAACCTGAAAAACGATTGTGTTACAATTAGAGAAATTCACATTTTAAGTTTAAAACCACTAATTCATAGCCCAATTTCTTAATGTTTAATTCTGTAATTTCAAGCATATATGGCTACTTTGTCTAAAGGTCAAATAAAGTGGCAGTTATTTCAGGTCAAAACTATACCTTTATATCCTGACTTGTGCTGAAAAATTCAACATACCTTTAATTGCATGATAGAGTGTACTGTTTCCCTGAAGTTTGATAGTACAAAAACAAATTCTTCTGATCTGAAGAACAGGGCAATTGTGCCCTCCTATTAAAATTTCATATGCTTCTTTATTATTTAAAAGAAACCCTCAACAAGGATTTTACTATAATCCAAAGTCCCCTAGATTTAATTTGACAGCAAAACTTCCCAAATATTTCACCTATTGAAAAAGATACAGCTATATGTAGGAACTATTTTGTTTGAAATATGTACCAGTACTACTTTCTTGTATTTTCTTTCCAACTGGACCTGAACTAGTGGTTCTATAGTCTATACCTATAACATATACTAAACTAGCTAGGAAAACCAACACTTTTTCATGTATGCCTTATTTGAAGTTATTTCTTTTGTTTTCTTATTATAACTTTTTAACACAAAGCTTTTTTACAGGAACACTAGTAGTCTACATCTTTAAATTGACATCAGAGTTTTGCATATGAAGTCTTCTTTTTCTTGTATTGCATGGATATCATTCAAATTATGGAGACGCTTCACACAATTTTAAGACTAATTTAAACTAATAAATTTAAAATCTAAGTGTACACCTTAATTTTATACAGTATCAATATGGGGAATAAAATTTTCAAATTTATATGAATGTATAAATTTAAAATCTAGGAAGATACTATAATATTATACAGTAAAAGTTAAATGGGAATCAGAGCTTAAAATCTAAAAGGGTACTTGATACTCTGCAACAGAGACATATAATACAATATGTTTAATACTGCAAGTCT